CATTTGCTATCACCCGAACTCACGCTTAACTGATGAATTTTGGGGTCTATTCCAGTTAGGGGGGCATCATGATGCAGCTCGGCGAACTAGTGTGAACTCGAACATTCCAGCTTTTCACGCATGTCAAGTGACTGCCCTCACCCCCCACCCCCTAGACTGGCTACACTCCCCCTGGCTCGGAGTTACCCTAGCTTTCCGAAAAAAAACTGCGTCATAATGCCCCCCCCTAACTGGAATAGACCCTGAATTCGATTTTTTGAAATTCAATTTCAATGAGGTAGCTTTGAAGCATGAACGCAATTGGGTCCATCTGCACTGATCTCAACTATCGCTTGTTCTCCGAATAAGAACGAGTTCCCATAGTTGGCCAACGTACAAATTTTAATTACTCACATTTATTATGCACACTCTCTATACAAAAATACATCTTCAAAAATATCCATACAATAAAATAGATCACAAAATAAACACGTACATTTGGTAGGGAGCTCCGCCCCGGCTGGGAAGATTGAGAGGGCAACCGGCTTGGGGGTTCTGATGAGGCGATGTCGCTGACAAGCCGGCGAATCGCCTCATTTAGCGGCTATTGATGCGGCTCTGGGGATTCACTGGCTGATATGCAGACGGCCATACATCAGAAGACTTGAGGAAGCAGACTAGAGCATGTGTGAGGAGCAGGAGGAGTAGAAGAAGTGAAACCCGTTAGAGAAAGAGGAAGCGGCTGGATGGCGATGGGTGACTACAGTCTGGTTGGGAAATCGGTAGCCAAACGTTGGTAGGTGTGACTCATGAGGGGGCCGTAGCGTTTGTAGCCGATTACGCCCAAGAGAAGCAGACAGATAATAATGATAGAGAAGGCGAATGTGCTCACCAGGACCGGAATGAACTGAGCGGTTGAATTTCGACAGGGGGTTACCCCGGTAAGGTAGGGTAACAAAGGATACTGCCATGAGCCAGAGAAACAGTAATAGAGCTGTGGATCGGTGATCTGTGTCTGGTTTAGAAGGTGCGGTACGATGTCGTGCAGGCTGCAGTCGCATCGCAAGAGGATTTCGTGTCGACTCGAAGGTCCCGAAGAGAACGCAGTCTGGAGAAGTTCCGAGTGAAATGCAGGCGATTCTCGCCCAGGTCCAAGGTGGACAGGTTGGGTGGCAGGTCGTCAGCGTTCATGTTCACGATCTGGTTCCCACGAAGCAATAGCGTTCGCAAGGACTGAAGGTGTGACAGGTGCAGGGCTCGTGAAAGATCGCAGTAAGACAGGTCGAGATCAGTCAGGCCGGTCAACTCGTCCAAATGGTCCGACCAGCAGCGCTCCTCACATCGCGTGAAAATCTGTGGATTGTTGGCCAGCTTCAGGTGCTGTAGCAGCGGAAGACCAGCGAATAATGCCGAATCCATCGTGACGAGATTATTGCTAGATACATCCAAATAAATAAGCGACGGTAATACAGGATGTGGCAGAATCGATAATTGATTGAAGGACAGATCAATAGAGACGAGCTGCATTCCCAGAGTGGGGAAGGCGAGATGATCGATTTCGCTGATCTGATTTCGGGAAACGTCCAGATGCTGCAGATTTGGGAATTGGGATAGAGCATGTGGAGGCAGGGAGGTGAGCAAGTTGGACGAGAGGGTCAGCGAGCGAAGTCGATCGAGAGCCACTCCGGGAGGCAGGATGGGCCAGTCAGTGAAGAGATTTCTGTCCAGGTGGAGCGCCTCCAGCGAGACCGCTTCCAGCCAGCTGGTCTCAAGCAGATTATCTCTAGCGAATACGGTAGTCAATACACAGTTTTTCAGAAGATGAAGTCGTTTAAGCCGTAAACCGGTGATGTCCAGCGTTTTCAACTCGTGGCC